TGCCCATCTCTCTTTCAAAGCTGAAGAGCCAGCGCTGTCCGAAGATGTCTCCGTGGTCATATGTGCCAAAGGTGCACGGAATGCTGTTACCTTTCCACTAAAGGTGGTTCCTATTTTTTCTACTTGCATTTTTACATGCTTTTGAATTGATAGATTGGCAGAAGCTGGAACCAGTAACAGGAGTTCACTCCGTTACGTGGTGCTAAATATTCAAACCGCCAAACTGTTGACCTTTCTGATTGACAAGTTCAGCGTCTTAGCCATTTAAAGCATCTTAGTGTCCCTTAAAATAATCGTATAATTTCTCCATTTCGGGTTTAGCTTCCAGTTTAGTGCAGAGGTTTGACCATAAACTGCATCACAAACCTATCTCATTGCTTCTCGAAATTGGGATCCAGTTGATTTGTTTCACCAACACTTGCTACCTCCTTAACTGCCTAGAAATCTTTTCTGAGAGATTCACTACAGGCAAATTGTTATAAGGGCTGAAGCTTATATCTTTTAACTTGGAGAAATGGAAGGAAAATGCCTCTAAACCACTAATGGATCTGAAAGTGTGTTCTTCAACAGGCAAATCTTCTTCTAAATAAATTCATTCTTGTACGCAATAAAGAAATGATCTATCCCTGACATGTCTGAATTTCTATTTAAACAAGTTTCTCAATATGGCTTAAATGACTAGAAAAATCAAGATTTATTGCTATTATACCTAACGTCCTATTTCTCTCCATAATTACAACATGTTATACATTTATCTGTGCTCAGTCATATTCTGACTAAGTATATGCCATCTGTGCTCTGTATCCTCGTTTTATGCTCCTTAGTAAAAATGAAAAATCCTATGAGGGGGTAAATGTCTATGGAGGTTCTCAGTCATCCAGCTCATGGTTGTCCCAAAGGTGGTTTTTTCAAGAGGCAACTGGACTTTCTGGTTTTTTCTTTTCTTTTTTCTTTTTTTCTTTTTCTTTTCTTTCTCTTTTTTAAGAAAAAAGAAAAAAACCCAGGAAGTCCAGTTGCCTCTTGAAAAAAGCACCTTTGGGATTATGAAGGGGTAGTCTATAAATCACCTGAGACTTCTTATAGATAGTCCTTGACTTACAAGCATAATTGGGACTGGAATTTCCATCACTAAATGGATGCAGTCATAACGCAATCTTAGTTACTAAGTTCCGGCATCCCCTGCTGCCTTTGTAATCCAAAGACATGTGAGTTTTAAGATAAGGCAGGAGTCCAAGGGATGCTATGGGAAGGTGAGGGTGTCCTGGGAGGGCCACCACATGTCACATATGACTTGGGGGAGGGAGATGCAGTACAGTGCAGTACAAACTAGGAAAGCCAGGAAAAGAATATGCTGCGGCTCACATGCTTCCTGGCCCGCTGTGGTTCTGGAAATTAAAAAAGCCTCTGAGCTGCAAGGCAAAACTTAGCCCCAGCCCAGCCCAACAAGAGATTTCTGCAAAGCTGCTATACACCAGGAAACCCCAGCCCAAACCCAGCACAGTTGCCCTTGCCACCCTGCACTTGAGGTCCCTGCTGCACTGCAATTTTGCAACTGCAGTTCACCTTTTCCACTATCTTCCTCCTGCTGCTAGGCTGGGGATCATCAGGTGCTTGGTAAGTAAGAGTCTATGCATGCTCCTGCAAAGCTTCCCCCCTGGAAAGCACCTTCTGCAAAGCCTCTCCCCAAACAGCAACTCCCACACAGCCTTCACCTTCATCACTGCTGGGGTTGCATCACCTGGTGATAAACAGGGCTGCTGCCCTACAACGCTCACCACATGAATCCCAGCCTACACTTTTCACCTAGGGCCTGGATCCCGGACCAGCAGCAGAAGGAAGAAGATGGTGAAGGGTAGCAAGGAGCAGCAGGGGTATGTCATAGAGTGCAGGGCATCCAAAAAAGAAGGGTGGGGGGAACATCGGGTTGGAACTGCCCTTGAGATTTTAAGTAGGGGGGGGCAAGTTTTGATCACCTGACCACGGGGGCAGTGTAACGGCCATAACATCAGGTGCTGTAAGTTCATTTTTTCTAGCACTGCCACAAGTTTGAATAGTCATTGAAAGTATGTCAAAGACTACCTGTATTGCACAGTAAAGTTAAGGCTTCAGCAAGAATACCAGTCATATCCATTGAAAAATCCTCCAAAACATTTAGGATCTGCTCTACTTCTATAAGTTTTCAATTCAGTTTACCTAAAATGGCTGAACAAATGCCATTAAACATTTGTTATGTTTGTTGCTTGGCTCCAATGTTTTTGAGGCCTCTGAAATTCCAGAGGTTTTTTAATGTGTTGGCAAAGTCTTTTACCAAGGCTAAACTGTTTATTTCATCATTTCTTTAAAAATATCACGGAAATAAGCCTGAGCAATGTATAAGAAATTTAGAACTGGAGTTCAAGTAATCCTTGACTTAAACCATTCATTTAGTGACAGTTCAAAGGCTATGGCAGAATCTCCACATGATCAAAAGACAGGCACTTGGCAACTGGCATGTACTTATAATAGTCACACCATCCTAAGGTCATGTGATCACCATTTGTAACCACCTCAGCAGACTTTTGACAGGCAAAGTCAATGGGGAAAGCCAGATTCACTTAATGATCACATGATTTGCTTAACAACTGTGCCAAAAAAGATTTACTTAGCCACATGATTATCTTAAAGACTGTGCTAAAAATTGTCATTGTCAGGTCACGTGATAATTTGCTTTTAGTTCTTATAAAGTTTTATTAAAAATGATATATTTTATGATTATTTAAGAGGATGTACTACAATTAGGTAGTTTTGTCTAACTGAATAAGTTCAACTCTGGAATTTGTATCATGGTTTATATTCTACTAATAAATTGAAAATATGTTATGGTGGAATATGACAGTGAATACTTTGTGATGTAGTTATCCAAAGCTTAATTGTGATCTGTTTATTAGAAAAACAGTTTTATAAAGGAAATTATGTTTTTTTTCTATAGGGCAATTTTTTTCTTTGCTTGTGATCATTTTGTATGAAATTATATCTCGTCTCCAGATACATTTAATTTTACTTTGTGATGTTGCTAAACTTTACACTTTATCAGTGTCATCTCCTTTCCTAAGCATATCACATGTTACATGCTGGTAACAGTCTTCCCACACCAATGATTGCTTTATAAATAAACTAGTTTATTTCCAGATAGGTCTTTCCAGCATTTCCAGACCCTATGTTCATAGTAGTGTGCCAATAGGGATAAGTAGAAGTAACCGAATATATTTTTCTTTACAGAGATTTGATTTTTTGCTCTCTTTGGAATTCATTACTTGGATCTAGTGTTACATTGCTGCTTTTCTGGGATCTGGGATCCTTAATTAACCTACCTTTAATTATGGGGAAAAAATGCTATTCTTTTGAAAGAACATGATATAAAATGTTATAATTAAGTATTTTTTCCTATTTATACATTTACTTATTTGCAGTATCTTATAGTGTGATCAGTTATAATAAATGGCTTGTTCAATAGAAGAATGTGCCTATTTTAACCAGAAATGATCCAAATGATTCAGCTGATATGCAGGTCTACATCATACACTTATGTTATGGGTCATAATTCTAGCAAAAAGATATTTGCAGCTGTGAGGGAGACATAATTTTTTTAAAAAAAAATCTTAGGAATTTGAATTATTTTAAGCATTCCACTTTTCAGAACTAGAAGTCCTGCTTCATAATTCTTATTCTGTAATCTGTGTAAATCTTTTGAGATAGTCTTCAATTCTGATCTCTGAATGAACACAAATGTTCAGTTGTTTTCAGTAGTAATCTCCATTACATTAACTGAGAATGCAGTAAACCTATTTTTGAATGGATACATATATGACTACACAGTTAGAAGAAGGCACATGCTCAAGGTCACTTACGAAGTTTTCCTTTTTTCTCTTAAATTTTACTAAATTATTAACGTTTGTTTGTACAACTAAATGGGTCACAACATGAACTAAATATATTGTACTTGAGCATGCTTTCTGTAAAATGGCACTTTTCCCTCCTGAAAATTCTAGGGTATAGCTGATACCCTCAGGCAATATATCCCAAGTTCATCACTGACAGTATGTGTTAAGAGTTAATAAGACTGTCTTACAAATGTGACCAGATTTAGATCTGTTTACATTCCATAATTGTGAAACTGGTCTGCCTTGCTGGCTTCAGCAGAATGCTTCCTTTTGCTCTGCCCCACCCTAACTGTGCACAAGTCTACTGCTTGCTTTTTTTAAACTGACATTGCATTTCCAGTTTGTCTGAGGTGTTTGTTTCATCTGCATTTTGCTTGTGGTGCTCCTTTTGGAGATTTCTTGGGGAAGCTGCTGGGAATAGTGGCTAACTTGGGCAGAGAGGGGCATCTGTCACAACTTGTTTAATATTTACATGGAAAATGTCTTTCTCAAAGGCTTTCGGTGCCCCATGTTTTACAGTACATGAACAGTTGGCTAGTCCAGGTGTTTCCTCAACTCTTTGCGTGATATGTGACTTGGAAATTCAAGAGAAGAGTTGGCAGAATGGAAGAGCTGAGGGTTTGTATTTACCTATTCTAACTGCTTAGGAGATAGAAGGGTTTGGGGCACAACAAACAGCTTCCTCTCCCCCTTCCTGGAAACTATATTTTTGAACGGGTGCTAAATCAGTAACTTTAATGATGTAACCAGCCTCTGCAATAAAGCATTGATCGGTTTTTGTTTTTAGCCAAAAGCCTGAAAATACTGCCTTACCATCATGTAGGTTTAAATGCCACAAATATCTATTGGACGTTACAATTGTAGTGCACTAAATTTCAACTTTTCAAACGAAATGATTCTTAAAATATATTTAAATATAAAAAGTGATGGTATATTTTTGTTTTATTCACTCCTAAATGTGAGTGTTTAGTATTTTATTACTGATATTTTTATTCATTACTGTTATTATGATTACTGTTATTTTACTGTTAGTTTCCTAAAATAGCTCAGATCCCTAACATGCTTTGTGTCTCTTTACAGGACAGTCGGCCCAATATGTCAAGACCTCTGATCACTAGGTCCCCTGCATCTCCTTTGAACAATCAAGGCATCCCCACACCAGCACAACTCACAAAATCTAATGCACCGGTTCATATTGACGTGGGTGGGCACATGTACACCAGCAGCTTGGCCACACTAACTAAATATCCCGAATCAAGGTAATTCTGTGGACTATGTTGCATTTTGTCCAGAAGCTCTGTTAACTTGCTCCCTTTTTTCTTTCAATTTTTATGCTAAATCTTTATCTAGTATTAAATCTTTTCATGTAAAAGTGTGCCCCAAGTTTCTGCCTTAAACTGATTGTTGGAAAACATTTTACTAAAGGAAATCAAGCAATGTTTCTTTGCTCAAGAGCCATTTAATTTGCATCATCTGCCTGAATTACATCACTCCATGTTGATATCTTACATTACATTTTTCAATATGTCTCCTGACAACTTGTTATTTCTATGCTATTATGAGAAACTACTTAATATTTATCATAACTAATGATGCAACTTCTAAAAAAAATTATATTTTGGGGTATTAAAAAAACCTGAGTTATCTTAAGGATTGTGTATATACAGAAGAGGGAGTGAAGATACTTTCCATTGCTCAAAGGACAGTACCAGAACCAGTTGATTAAAATTATAAGAACATAAGCTCAACTAGACATTGGGAGGAACTTTGTAAATGTACAAGCTACCAGCCAGTGGAACAGACTGCTACATTATATAGTGAGTTCTCTTTTACAGTAGGTTTTCAGACAAAGGCTGGATGATCATCTGTTATTTTTTTAAATATTTTTTTTATTTTTGAATAAACACAAAACACAACAAATGCTGCAAAAATATCTTCCATTACAAATTGTAAAGAGTGTGTCAGTTAGTTACAAAGAGCTTTCGTGCATCCCTTCCACAGTCATCACCTACAATTAATATCAAATTATATGTTTTAAATCAAATAGGTTTTTATATATTACTATCATCATACCTCAATCTTCATATGACTATGATTGTATTTACGTCCCTTTATATAAAATATTCCAAAATTTAAAGCAAAACCACGTGATGGCATTCTGTTATCTATTTTCAATATCATCCAGCAACATTACATCCTTATGACACTTTCTAAATAAAAATTAATAATGTTTAATAACAAAGTTTCTAGACCTCCTTTCTTAATCACTGTTTACAATTTATATCCAATTTCCCTTTTATCATGTCAATACAAATATTACATTATCATTATCAATCATTTATTTAACAATATCCATCATCATTACATTGGGGGGGTCTTAGTTTAACTAAATTTGACACTTTTTTAATATAAGCTTTTATACGTAACAGAGTTTCTAAGCTTCCTTTCATGATCACCATTTAGAATTTATACCAAATTTCCTCTTATCAAACCAATACATATGTGTACATTGTTATTATCAATTATTTATCTAATTATATCCATTATCACTTCATTTTTAACATAATGCTCTAATTTTAACTAAATTTGACTAATATTTTGTTATTAGTTTTCATATCTCAGCCTGTGCCTTTCCAGTAATAGTGCAGACTTATGTCTTTTGCCATTTGTGGAATTAGTCTTCTGGTTATTTCCTTAATCAAATTTGTGTGGACTTCTCTTCGCAACTTGTTGCTTTTTACATATCTTGTAAAATCTTGAGACCCTCCATCAGCTTCTTTAATCAGCTTATCTTTGGATATCAGTCGTGCTTTTGTCGAAGTTTCTCTCCTTGAATCCATCAATTCTTCTCTTTTTTCTTCTTCTATACCTTGAAATCTGGGGTAGAGCTCCTTTCCATCTATCTTCCCTTTCCATATTCCACTCTTTCCATCTCCAACCACACTCAGTTCACTGTCAGTATCCACAATTATCTTGCCTCTTTGTTCATTTTTCCCTTGGGTTTTTAGGACTCTAACCTCCACTTTTTCCATTTGCTGGATATCTTCAATTTTTCCATCGAATTTTACTGCATTACAATCTATATTTTCCAATCTCTTCTCAATTCTCTCTGTTGTTTCTAATAATTTTTGAATTTCAAACATAATCTGTTGTAATGTTATGGTTTCTTTTTGGTGTTGTGCCATACTTCCAACTAGTAAACACTGCCGCTCTAGTTTCAAAACAAGGTTTTGTTTTCCCTTCTCTCCAGTTGCCAAAGAAGCATCCAAAGAGCACCTGTATAAACAACCCATGCTCTTCTCCTTATCTCTTCTGTAAACAAGCTGAAGCTTTTGAAGTGCAAAGTCAAAATGATCAAAGAGAAAAAAGAGAAAGCAATATTTCCAGGACTCAACCTCCAAGTGGCAGTGTAACTTCTTTTCCCTCTGATGTTACTACCCTCTTTATATTCCTTTTATATCTTCTTTATATTCCAGGCTTAAAAGAAACAAAAATCTTAAATGAAGCAAAATAAAGAAAAAGATTTAATCCATAGGTAAAAAAAAGAAATAGAAGAAGAAAAACTTTCACTTTAAAAAGTAGGAAATATTTGCAAAACGTCCATCCATTTAAAAAAAAGGATAATACATTGTCCAATATAGCTTAATTTCACCGATTATTTTCTTTTCTTTGCAAGTTTAATTTAGCTTTGATTTTTTGGGGGGAAGTCTCTTTTATAACAATAAAATTTCCTCACCAAATGGACACACTTTCTCTTTCCGCTTTCCTCCTGTTGCGGAGCTGTCCCAACTTCAGCTTTTGGCTGTGATTCTTTTGCCGGCAAGAAGAGATTCTCTTGGATCAATCAGGGACTTTGCAATATCCCTGAGATAGACATACTCTTCCCTGTCACCGTCTCTTTGGGATGGTTTAGATCCAAAAGGACCGTCCAGCGGCAAAAGTATCGACTGCGATCTCGGAGCTCCGAGATCACATGTCGTACCATTGCGACATCCGCTCCTGTCTCCCGATTATTTGTTATAAATATGCTAGTGGATCCTTCATTGAACAATGGATTGGACTAATGACCTCTGTGGTCATTTCCAATGTCATAATTGTATTATTGTACTTTTTAATAAACTGGCTTTTGCATTGTTGTTCTTTTCATATGGATGTCTGGTTTTTTCAGACAACAGATTATTAAACATTTTCTTGCTGTCTAAAACAAAGTATCCAGTCAGTTATAACAAGAAAGAAATGCTGCTACTTTCTTGAAGCTATTTTATCCCAGAAGCTCCTTAGACTAAGCTGCCTCAAAATAATTATGGTAGTTGCTAGACTTTTCTGTGTGACTCCATAAAACTAATAAACAAAAGAATTTGGGAGGCAGCAAGTTTGTAATACCAGCAGCACACAGTTTTTAAACTATTGAACAAAGCAGCAAAAGAATAAACAGCAAAAAGAAAGAGGAACAGCACACTTATTCTAGCCTAACAGCACAAACTTTCATAGTCTCCGATAATCAAAAGATAATAATTCAAAAGAGATTATTAATTAAATAGTGCTTATTTAATCAGATTCTCAAATAGCTCACAAATTGATGACTAAATGATACCATGACTGCTTACAACTTACTTCAGCTTTCAGTTGTTTTACAGACATGCAAAGATTATAAATGCAAGGATTGGTTGTAAAGTTCATCACTTTCATAATTGTAACCAGTTACTAAATGACGCAATCTTTAAAGGATTGCTCATAATGTTACTTCTGCTCAAATCACAATAAAAACCAACTCTGCCAGTTGTATAGAAATGACTGACTGTTCTTGTTACATATATTTGCTGTTTTAATTTGGATAGTAGTTAATCTACAAAGTGTTTATTTAGCTTTGATAGATAAAAGCAAATTGTAAAGTAACCAAATATATTAATATATTCCCTTGCATCAGTTTTATTTTCTGCAAAAATATTGTATTTTTTATTTTCAAAAAACATTATTAAAATCTATTGATGAAAGATTGGGGAAAGGATTGTAGATTTTTAGGATTTGGATTTGGATTTGGATTTTATTATTTCCACTTCTTTTATAAAATGTGAAAATTCTAGAATTTCTAGGGAGAGCATAATATATTGAGGAACAAAAAATAGTAAAAGTTCCTGAAATACTTGACATAATAAAGTAACTGCAGAGTGGAGTACTCTAAATTTTGTGAAGCTGGATTATATTGTTCCTCTTGGGTGATCCAGTCTGACAAAAAATTCATAATTTACTATGTATTATATAATTATATAACAATTACGTAATAATACATATAAGTATATAGTAACTTGACTCTTTTCTGACTAATAAATATGCATAAATGTTAAGGTAAGTGTGATTATTTGACTCGCTAAGAGAACTCTTGGCTATTTTGGTGTGTTAGTTTTCTATTTCTTCTATCCTATTGCAATCAAAATCTTGGAAGGGTTTTTCACAGTAGAAGTTGTTTATATTTGGATGGACTCTTGGCGAACCCACCCACAAACTCTATCTAAATTTGCACATCCTTTAACAACAGCGCAATTTTTTCTTTTGGTATGGAGAGTGCATGTGGTATGTATGTGTTTTTTAAAAAAATTTATTTATTTCCAAAACAAACATATATTGTAAAAAGTATATCAGCTGGTTACAAAAAGCTTTTGTGCATCTCTTC